GGGACCTCTCACAATTATTGAGGAGTAATGATGTCAGATTAAGAACTAAGGTGCATCTGATTCAGACCATGGTCTTTTCAGTCACTTGCTATGCATCTGAGAAGTGGACAATAACTAAGAATAGAAGAGTTGTGGTGCTGGAGAAGAGTTCTGAACATACCATGGACTGTCAAGAAAACAAGTAAGTCTGTCTTGGAGAGGGAGAAACCAACTTTCTCCTTGGAGACTAGGATTTTGAAGCTCTGTCTCACATACTATGGGAATGTGGCCAACAGAGACTGGTCCTTGGAGAAGGACCTCATGCTCAGAAGAATGGAGGGAGAATGCAGGAGAGGAAGACCTCAGATGAAATGTATTGATACAGTAACTGGGGAAATGGTGTTAGGCATGTCAGAATCAGTGAGATTGGATCAGGACAGGACAGGCTTCAGAGCTGCTATACATAGAGTTGCTATGGGTCACGGGCAACCCAACAGTACATAACAGCAATAATAACAGAAGAAGCCGGGGAGCTCTGGTGGCCTAGTGGCAAGGAGCTGCACCTACAATCCCAGAGGCGAACGGTTCGAATCCACCAGATGCTCTGCCGGGGAAGGAGGGACAATCTCCTCCTGTACCAGTCAGATCTGATTTGACAGTACACGCACACAAAAATAATAAAAAATAATAAAAAATTTAAAAAAAAACACAGAAGAAGCCTTTGAATTATGGTGTTGGAGAAGAGTGCCAAAAATTCCATGAACTGCCAAAAGAACACACAGATATGTCTTGGAGAAGATGAAGCCAGTGTGTTTCTTGGAGACAAAGATGATGAACCTTCCCACATACTTTGGACATGTTGCTAGGAGAGGCCATTCCTTGGAAAAAGACATCATGATTGGAAAGATGGAGAGGTGGTGAAAGAGAGGAAGACCCTCAACTAGGTGGGTTGACACAGTATCTGCAGTAACAGGGTTTAGTGTATCAGAGATTGAGAGGCTGGCACAGGATAGGACAGTGTTCAGACTGGTTGTCCACAGGGTCACTGTGAGTCATACTTCACTCAACGGCACCAAACAGCAACCATGGGCTGCAAGCAGGTAGTACTAGCTGAGAAGTGGTGCATAGAGTCTCAAGTATCCAAACTAAAATCACTGCAAATACAACAGGACAAGATAGAACTACCTCACAGGGTGCCTGAGGCTGAAAATCTTTATCGAAATGGACTGCCATCCCTCCTTCCTGAAGAGTGGCTGGTAGTTTCAAACTCTCAGCCTTTGGACTAGTTGTTGTTGTTAAATGCTGTTGAGTCATAGGGGACTCATAGTGACCCTATGAACGAAAGTCCTCAACACTTGTGTGATTTTCATCCTTTCTCCAGGTTCATAGAGCTTCCAGAGGCAAGCTATTTTGGAAGTGGATGCAACTCCTGCTTCTAAGCTTATTTTAATCGGGAAGCTCCACCAAACACTGTCCATCATGGGTAACCATTATCGCGTTTGACTCATCAGTGTCACAGTGTTCCGCTTCACGGTAAACACAAATTACCTCTGTACAGCAAGTGGACACACCAGGGCTATATGACCTAGAAGAATGTTTCTACAAAAACGATGAAAAACAGGCCTGAGGGCCTCGGATTAAAAGTCACCTACCTTTGGACTGCCAAGAAAACGAACAGATTCATCGTAGAGAGGATTAAACCAGGCTGCTCCTTGGAGGCAAGGATTCTGGGGCTTCGTCTGACATACTTTGGACATGTTGTAAGGAGAGACAGGTCTTTGGAGAGGGACATCATGCTGGGTAGAGTGGAGGGACAGCGCAGGAGGGGAAGACCCTCTATGAGGTGGATTGATTCAGTGACTGGGGTACTCGGGTTGGGTTTGTCAGAGGCAATGAGATTGGCACAGGATAGAGCATGGTTTAGGGCTGTTGTACATAGGGTCGCTATGAGTCGCAAACGACTCGACAGCACATTACAACAGCAACAACAACAACCTTTGACTAATAGCGGAGCTATTTAACCAAGCATACTATCCGGGCTCCATTGTTGTTGCTGTAGTTGTTAGATGCTGTCAAGTCAACTAAGACTCAGTGACAATTTGAACAACAGATCTGAAACCTGCTGTCTGTCCCCTGTACCATCCTCACCATTACTGATATCTTTTAGACCATTGTTATAGTTACTATGTCAATTCATCCTGTTCAGGGTCTGCATCTCTTTCACTAACTCTCTACCTTTCCGAGCATGATGTCTTTCTCGAAGGACGTGCCCTTCCCAACAACATGATTAAAGTATGTAAGATGAAGTTTCACCAGTTTTGCTTCTCAGAAGCTGGTTCCCTTTTTTAGTCCATCACTAGTTGAGAGACAGAGAGTCTCCGAATATATTATTACACAAACGCCTTGTGATTCTGTGAGAAATCGATAGTTTCTAGTGGTATTCAATGTGGTCTGAGAGTCATTTATCTTGTTGAAATTTATATTACATATCAAACCAAAAAGTACACTGTGCCTCTTAAGCTCTTTAGATCAATCACATTCCAAATTCTAAAATCTATGTGACGCAGGAGGACAGACAGTCCAAAGAAAACTGACATGCCTTTATTAAGCCCCACATTTTCTTTAATTAGTCATCAAAGGCAAAGACATTCGTAAATAAAATCCTCTCCTGAGTCAGTGACGTATGGAAGACCCCATACACTTTGTAAGGTCTGTGAAAAAAATTGTCTCTGCAAAAATTGTCAGGTTGTTTTCAAACCAAGAATGTGTCATCTCTCATGTGATTTACTGCCTCTGAAAATCTGCTGAGGATCTGCTGTGAGTTGATTCCAACACGATGGCATGCAACAATAACAAAACCAAAATTTCCTGTAATAGATAGAGCAAGATTCTGATGGCTGCCAACCCTTTCCAAGCAAATTTTGAGTGGCCTGTGGTTTCATTTGATTCTAATTTAATTAAATGTCGAAGGTTAGTACAAGCTGCCTTTGTACCAAATTCTTGCTTTTGTAAAGGTCTACCAGGTAAACTCCTCCAGGAAGTAGAAATGAGCCTAGATGATAAGCCATTTCAAGGAACATCAAGTGAAGTAATATTATTTCTCTTATACTTCCTGCTACCAGAACGGTAATCAATCGATGTTCTTCAGCTTTCCCCAGACTCTTCATATTTTTCCCTCGAAACGTAGGGCAATTAGTTGCATTGCTAGGGTGGGACTATCGCCTGAGGGCTGGATACATCTGAGGCAGAGCACAGTGGGCCAGCAGACTGCTTTATTTCAAGCCTAGCTCCTTTTCCCTTCCTTGTTCACAAAAATTGCTACAACTGAAGGTCACAGAAAGAACATTTCTCTTTATCTCTCTCTCTCTCTCTTTTTTTTTTTTAGATTTTGCAGGAACAACCAAAGCTAAAAATACCAGTCTTAGTCCAGGATGCATGACTTTAAAGCCACCAGTCTTTCTGACCTTGTGTAGTCTCAAGAAGGAAAGCTCGGACGAGACAAGATGGAATGTTCGTAGCAACCAACCTGTTGTTAGCTTTGCTCATTGCTGCATTGCCTTATCGTTGTATGTCACCCGCAAGAACAGACCCACCTTCTGCCCTTTCTTTTTACTTTTAGACACTCACCTTAAAGTCATGATATGTTAGTCGACTCTCCTTTCTCTCTGGCCCTGCTGTCACGTGAGAATAGACATGTCCACCCATCCCTATCAATCCCTTTTGACAAGCAGTCAGCAGCTGTCACAATTAGAATCTCCTTGCTGTGTCCTTGGACAGACTTGCCCCCTGGTGCAAGAAAGGCTCAAGGCTTTTGACTTGGGAGAATGACAAAGATGGCACACAGCCAGACGGAAGCGGCTGGGATTTAGATGTGTGGAGGCTTCCCAACTTCCATCTGAAACACTGGCATTCCACTCACATGTTTCATTCTACCGGTCAGTAGGGTTTGGTCAAGACCAGTCTTCCTTATTTGGGCTTCTTTTAGGGGTTACTGGGAAGGGAAAACACAGACTTCCCAATGTATTCTACTGAACAAAGGTAAGAGAGGCTCCATTCATCAGCCTCCAGGGGCCAAATTCAGGGACAACCATTTGGACCAAATGGGCTCTCTTCATCTGAAGAGCTAGTCAAGCCACAGACACCTCATCACTGGGCTCCCTCCTGCTGCAGGAATGTGTACCTTTGACTCTCCCAGGAGTTTGAAGGGCTGTAAAGGAACAGCTGAAAATGACCACAGACTCCGTGCACAATGATGTGAACATCGACTATGTTCTTTGGTTCACTTAAAGAGACACTGTCAAGATCTGCAGGTCAAAAATAAGACTGGACATGCACTGTTTTTATCAGACAGGGAACGTCTGATAAAAAGCACTCAAATAGCTGGGGAAATGATGTCTTCTTATTTCTTTCTTTTTTTTTAAAAAATCCCTTTTTTGTGGGACTCACAAAACTTCTGCTTCATGTTCCCCAGGGTGTGGGAAGCACCCAGCAGAGGCAAGCCATGCTGGTGGCCACCCCCGCAGGCTGACTTGGGGAATGCTTCCAGAACCTCACACTACGGCTTGTGCTTTAATGCAGACAGGATCATTGCAAACGTTTGTGCAACAGCAAAAAGGCAAAAAGAAATAAAAAGAAAGAAAGAAAGACAAGAAAGCTCTGTTTGCCAAGGAGAAGCTGACAAATTTGTGAAGGGGGTGGGGGGGAATTCACTTTCAAACCTGTGAGTGGGCGTTGCAAACAAAAGTGAATCTCCAGAATCGGAAAATGTGTTGCATCAAAACATAAAAAGCAGAAAAAAAACCCAAAGAGGCCTAAAGCTAATGACTTGATGCCTTGACAGTGTCCTTTTAAGAATGATGGACAATCAAATTAAGGCAGTCGTGCAAACCATGGCAGGGTAATGAGCTCTTCATCCTTGATGGCATGCACCACATCCGTTTCCATGTTCCAAAGTGGAAAAAACCCAGGAGAGAGAAAGCAAGAGGCAAACCACTTTTTTTTTTCCATGCAGCTTCTCTTACACATTCACTGCAGTGTGTGGGGGTTTTCAAAGTTGCACATGTGCCGACGGACATTGGCTGGTGGGCGAGAATTCTGGCTGCCTCTTCCTGGGGATTGAAAAGAAAAAGACACCCTGTGAGTGGTTGGTTAGACATGTGTGCAGACACGGGGATCACTCCACTCGCTGGTGCCTGGTCCTGAGGGCGGCCCTTGTGACGCCTGAGCTGTCTCAGTCCCCGTCTCTCTGATGCCCTGTTTCCCTCCACGACCCGGCTATTTCTGAAAGTCACAGTGGATTACAGGATCCCTCCTTTTGACCTTGGGAAACCATCCTTTACCAAGTGGCAGATGTGTAGTGTGTGTGTGTGTGTGTGTGTGTGTGTGTCTCTGTGTCTGTGTTAGAATGCCCCCTTTCCTCTACTGCTGACTCACCCTTTGTTCCTGGTGGCCGTGGACTCCGCTCCACTCACAGGAATGTAGGCTGAACCTTCCTGCCCCCCACTTCTCCTAGAGGAAGTTCATTGATTTAGATCTTAGTACAGTAACTTCTGGTTACACTGTTCATAACCCCCATGCCATGGCACCACACAACCACACATCATTGACCCTTCACATAAAGTTTCATTTCTCTCTCTTGGCTCTCATAGATAAAAGGTGTGGTGATGGGGAGTCAGAGGGGGCTGAGAGAGCAGCCTGCAGAGAAGAGAGGAAACTAACATAACAGACAAATACAACCTCTTTCCCTGATTACAGGTCCGCTTGCAGCAAGCACATAGAGCGATCTGCCCTCCCTACCATTTTCTCAAGGAGAGAAGAATGGGGGTTAGCAGCACAAAGCTTATAAAGAAGTCACAGCCCTTTGGGCTGACCATCAGTTGTTGGGATAAGGGTGAGGTGAGTAGTTCTTCAGAAGGGGGTGAGTTAGACTTATTTTGTTGCTAATCCAAATGGCTGCTTGCCATAGAGTAAAATTCTGAAAACAAAATGTTAAAGTTGGACCATCAGAAGACTCTGGGGTTGGTTGGATAAAGTTGGTTAAACTGAAGAAAATATCTGACATTAAATGAATCATTTTCCAACAGGGATTCTTAAACAGTTTATACTGTTCTCAGTGAGTGAATATTAAGATTTCCTACAAAATCTGTTGATAGATATTTACTATTCAACAGAAGAGAATTGCAGCATCTCCATGTCTGAGAATCACAGCATCTCCATGTCTAAGAACTCAAGGCCTTTTCTATCTCTTCTGTGTTTTCCCCTCCACCAATGTAGAGAGAGGAATGGGAATGCCGGAAAGAGAGGGAGGGGAAATATCACAGGAGCAGAAGTTTTCCGGGCAGAGACCTGGCAGATGCTGATCAGGAGAGCTGGGAGCCTGCGTATTTGAAATAAGATAATACTCAACAAGCTTTTTACTACCTGAAAACTGGAGTTCAGTCCTGAATGGATATAAGTGAGTAAGGAGATTTACCACAGGGCAGTTAAAGGTAACAGAGAAAAACTAAAAGCAATCAATACATGTATTTTGACCAAGCTTAACTGATTCAGTGAACCAGTGAAAAGCACATTCATTATCTTTTCAGAACAATTTGAAATCTTTATCCAGAAATAACAACTTGAGACATTGTGGAGAGACTTCATTTATACTACAACAATCCACTCATTTAAGGCAATTAGACAAAGCGCCAATATTTTTTTGTGACTTGACGAATAATATGTCCTTGACATTCAATATGCCCACCCTAAAGTCACAAAGATGATTGAAAAACGAAAGCATTCATAGTGGGGTGACTAAGATCAAAGGTGTGGATTGAATATTTTAAAAGACTACCAAAACGAAAGGCCACTTAATGTGGGAAATATTATTTTTTTAAACCAAAGATCTCACTGCCATTTATTTAGAACCTACTATGTGCATTTATTTAGAACCTACTATGTGCACATCAGCAGAGAATTGCCGGAAGTCCAGGCTGGGTTTAGAAGGGGTCGTGGTACTAGGGATATTGTTGCTGATGTTAGATGGATCTGGGCTGAAAGCAAGGAATTCCAGAAGAATTTCTATCAGTGTTTCATTGATTATGCAAAGGCATTTGACTGTGTGGATCATAACAAACTGTGGCTGACTCTGAGAAGAATGGGAATCCCAGAACACTTGATCGTTCTAATGCGAAACTTATACTTGGATCAAGAGGCAGTAGTCAGAACAGAGCAGGGTAACACTGCATGGTTCAAAATTGAGAAGGGTATACGCCAAGGATGCATCCTGTCTCCATACCTTTTTAAAATGTATGCAGAGCAGATTATCCGAGAGGCTGGGCTCTATGAGGAGAATTGTGGCATCAGGATTGGTGGAAGATCTAGTAACAATCTGCGTTATGCAGATGACACAACCCTGCTTGCTGAAACTGAGGAGGACCGCATGCACTTGCTACGGAGGGTCAAGGACTGCAGCCTTCAGTATGGACTGAGGCTCAATGTCAAGAAGACAAAGATTCTCACCACTGGACCAATTGGCAGTGTCAGGATGGATGGCGAAGAGACTGAGATTGTTCACAGCTTCAGTTTGCTCGGCTCCACAGTCAACACTCTTGGCACCAGCAATCAGGAAATCAAAAAGCGTATTGCGATGGGAAAGTCTGCTGTTAGGGGCTTCTCCAAAGTACTCAGGAGCAACGGTGTCTCTCTGGAGACTAAGGTGCGCCCGATACAGGCCATGGTCTTTGTAATCGCTTGTTATGCATCAGAGAGTTGGACAATGACAAGGGAGGGAGGACAGAAGGGGAGTTGATGCCTTTGAGCTGTGGTGCTGGAGAAGAGTACTAAATGTACCATGGACTGCCAGGAAAACAAACAGATTCATCTTGGAGAGGATTAAACCAAGCTACTCCTTGGAGGCAAGGATTCTCGGGCTTCGTCTGACATACTTTGGACATGTTGCCAGGAGGGACGGGTCCTTGGAGATGGATATCATGCTTGGGAGGGTGGAGGGGTGGCGCAGGAGGGGAAGACCCTCTATGAGATGGATTGATTTGGTGACTGGGGTAATCGGGATGGGTGTGTCAGAGGCAGTGTGGTTGGCACAGGATAGAGCAGGGTTTAGGGCTGTTGTGCATAGGGTCGCTATGAGTCGGAAACGACTCGACGGCACATAACAACAACAACAACAACAACTATGTGCTGACCCTCATTGGCATTTATTCAGAACCTACTATGTGCTGAGCTTCCCTCCGGTGGGTTTTCAGGAGGCTGTACATACATTACACAGGAGAATATTGCTCATCTTTGCCCCACCAGGCGGTGGTGGGTTTGAACCACCAGAGACGTACTGCCTGTGGTTAACAATGCAAAGCAAGGAGAAAATATGTTCAGAGCAATGAATTATTGTGTTGCTACATTATTTGCCCACTCTTGGACTCTCTCCCAGCCTTGAGAACAATGGACAAACCTTGAAGATCTTGATATCAGAGTGGTCATTTTATAGTTTGAATGAAACCCAGGGAAGGAGCTTGATTCCAGGGTATTTTTAACAATTATAAAATCACATATTGGACCAACCAGTGATGAGGCGAGCCAGAGTAGCTTGGAGGGAAGAAGCAGCATATGGGGGCTTGTCAAATAAAGTCCCAAATCTGTGCTTGAATCTTCTGGCAGAAATTGTGGATTTAAAGAAACACCAGAAGAAAAAAAATTCTCCTTCAATTTCCTCTGAGAAGTGAAAGGCTTTTAAATAAAGAGTCACCGCTTGTCAAAATGCCAAGCACATGGATTTTGTGTAACTTGTACTTTGCAGTTCCACTGGCCAAACACTCATTCTTAGTATAAAAGACTTTTCCTCTGAGTGTGCTTAACCTCATATGACTTTGTCTTGTGTGTTATTTAAATCAGGTCACCTGTATATATTTTTTATGATAGACATTCTTCTTTATATGACCTTGAAATGTTGTCATTATGTGCCGTTGAGTCGCTTGTGACTCATAGCGACCCTACATACAACAGACCTAAACTCTGCTCTGTCCTGTGCCAATCACACTGTCTCCGATACACCCATTCTGATTACCTCAGTTACTGAATCAATGCACCTCATAGAGGGCCTTCCCCTCCTGCGCTGTCCCTCCACCCTCCCAAGCATGATATCCTTCTCCAAAGACCGGTCCCTCCTTACAACATGTCCGAAGTATGAAGTCATTACAGACTTACTCAATATAGTATTAGAAGCAAAATCACTGGACAAAGAGTCAGGAGATATGACATTGTCTATTTGTATGATTTTTTTTTTCAGGGTCAGCTCTTTCAGATTTCATTTTTTCATCCTGAGGTAGGATTGTTGAAATAGTACCTGTGAAAACGCTTCCAAGTAGACAAGTTCTGTCAAAGGTTAAGCCATCACTTCAATTGTTAGGTGCTACTGAGTTAATCTCATTACAGAACGAGGCCCCTGGGACAGAGTAGAGCTGCCCCACAGGGACTCCCAGGCTGTGATAATCACAGGAGTAGATTGGTCACGTCATTTTTCCCATAGAGATGCGAGGTGAGTTCCAGTGGAGAACTTCAGTTAGTGGGAGATTCTTACCCACTGTGTTAGCAGAGAATGTATCGTTGCTCTCAAGTCTCTTCTTTTGAAGTGTGGAGAAACAAAAGCACAGATAGAAGACCCAGAAGTTTTAGGGCTTAGTATGGATTTAAAGCAGACTTATTCACGGTATCTCAAACTTTATTCACAGATTTCAGTCACTTTACTTACTCAAGAATTTCAATAACTTCAAGGAGAGTATTTTTGTGGACAATGTTAGCTGGTGACACTGAGCAGATACAGTCTGGGTACACAGTGTGTTAGCTTTCTGTCTGAGAGAGCTTCATGCCCACGGTAGTAGGTTTAGAGGTGAATCTACTTTTAGCAGAGATAAAATCATCTGTATGATTCCAGATGGCCAGTCTTAAGGATATATAAAGCTCACCATGGACATCATAATGCAGCAGCTGTCCACACTCATCATAAAGAATGACAACAGCCACTCGAGACCATTTTACCCCAGTGAGGTCTATTTTTGACTTGTTTTAACATCACTGAAATTTCTTAGAGTGTAAAATATCATTTTATAAAAGTCAA